GTTTATTCAAATGAATGACCTTTACATATATTCAAGGTCACAGGGGCCGATGATATTTGGTCATTAACAGGCTGGGATGAAGGGCTACCAATTTTGTCAAAATGAATGACCTTCGCCCATATTCAAGGTCACAGTGGTCAATATATGTTTAAATCTTTAAATGACTTGTTCTGTATAACCAATAGGTCCAGGGTTATGATATTTTGCCAAAAGCATGCTGGGTTGGAAGACTTCACACTCTGTTCAACCTAATGTCCTTGTTCGACATTCAAGGTCACAGGCGTCATATATTTAAATCTTTTAATAGGTTCTTATGTATCAAACACTGATATTCTTCCTGTAACTGCATTTTAGTCCACTTTTAAGATTACAAGTGTGAGATTAATACCAGGTGAGCGATTCAGGCCCATTGGGCCTCTTGTATTGTATACCATGTACTATATGGACAACAGTTAAGGAGCCATTTCCCACTGCACTTTGGTTTTAGCTCGCATGATTCGTAGGACCAAGGAGAGCTAATTATGCCATACTGCGGCATCTGTTGCCCGTCAACAATTTCTTCAAATGATCGACTTCTCCTTAACCACTGATTGGAGTTTTGATGGGGATGGAGGGGCGGGACCAAAAAGGGGTAATTAGGCCATACTGCTTTAGGGACTTCTTGGCTTCCATCTGGATATTACAGTAAAACAATTGGACCAGGACAGTTCCGCTGTCCAGGGTGCTCAATCGGTTAGAGCGATAGTTTAGCAGTACAAGTTCATGGTTCGAATCCAGGTCTAAGCTCCGGTGCTTTTTTACACACAAATGATTGTTGTTGACGACATTTTGTTTGTCAGCTTTATTATTTCTCATTTAAGTCCCTGGCGAATGGTTTGGTTTCCTTCTCAGAAATGATTTATCAACGCTATCTTCATGCCAGATTTTTTTCCCTTTACAATATTACAGCTATTGGCAGTGGTACCGCGATCCTTAAATCCAAACGGAAGTTAAGGGTAGGCTACTGTATATATACGAAAAAAACACAGTTAAGTGGTTACATACATTCATTAAAAAAATATGGCTCTTAACGCGATGTCCCTCTGGGATCTAATTAATGCCGAGACAACATAAAACACCTACATACCAATGGACGGCACTGAACGACGGTCATATTGTTCTATGACTAAGCAGAAACATGGTTTTACAAAAAATGAAAACTCCAGGCACAAGTTAATAGCTACCCTTTAGTATTGATATACCACGTCCACAATTATTATTGATATCTGTATTTCCTCCAAATGAAGATTACAATATATTTCATATTAATATAGATAAAATAATACAATAGCAAAATCAAAACAATGGATTATTACGTTGCAAAAAAAGTATCTGTTATTGGACATATGGTAAGGTATACGTACATAGAACAATAAATATTCTCCCTAACCAGGGATGTGTACACATCCCTGCCCTAACGGTTATATTAGCATTTGAATCAATAAAGAAAGTGTCATACATAATTTTGTAGAACTTTTCTAATTAAACATATTGATATACAGAGTTACTTTCAAATCAGCTGCTGTAAATTGATAACATTTTATAGACATATATGCCACAGAAGTAATTCTAAATTCATCCAATTCATTATTTTCTAACCTAAAGTTAACTTTGCCTCCAAGCAGATGATACATAATTTCATCTTCAAGTGATGAATGTATATAATGACTAAATGTCAGGTCGTGTATATTGGCTATATCCATCCATAGCGTATCTCTAATAGTACTCGTACAATCACATCTTAATACAACATGTTCTGTATGATCTGGGTAGAGCGCACCCCACTAGTGACAAAGTTTTGTAGTTCTACTGTTTCTAATTGTGGCTCTTCACGTGATGTCCCTTTAACTGAAATCGTACTAATGCCGAGAGAACCATAATACACCTACATTCCAATGGACGGCACTGAACGACGGTCATATTGTTAAATGACTAAACAGAAACATGGTTAGAGTTCACAGTGCCATATGACAGATATACACAAAAAAAAAATCCAGGCACAAGTTAATAGGTAACCTACAGGATTAATAAACCACGTCCAGATGTATCACGTATACCATACATGCGTAAATTATTTTCCAACAACAACGGTATTTCAAAAACCTTTATTGTAAATTATACATATGTAAACAAGCTATATCAGTGAGACTGGTTTCTTTTGTCAATTTGAAGTTATGCTATTGAACAAACGAAATTTGTGTTTATTTTACCCGAAGATCTGCTAAAAAAAAGCACGAAATTATATTAGATTATCGAAGTCCGTGCTTAAATACAATAAAGGGGGGACACAGACAATCCTCCAACTAAACAGAGAATAGCAAGGCGACCCTTCGATTCCCTCATTGTTGAAGCGTACCCTGAACGAAAATAGAAATGAATACATAATTATTCTATCTGATTCAAGCACAAAAATGTCGAAACCGCATTAAAATCGGTCATCCCAATACCGAGATATCGACGTGTAAAGTGTAGGATTTCACCTGTCCTTCTTCTACTAATTAGCATAATTAAACTCGCAGTGATTTGGCCCCTATCGGCTGTAATATCACTGTCACTAACGTCAGGTGTAACATCGTATTTATTACACTATGTCAGTGTATTTTATCGGTCTGTACTGTTCTACTAGATTGTATTTATTCGTGACATATGTGCGATACAATGTATGTAGCTTTATTAAATCCTGTTATCATTACCTGTAAAGTATGTCATTGAAAGTTATCATAGTATTATTATCATTGTAATATACTATTGTAATGATTTCACTGTATCGGAACCTTACGATGTTG